TCACTTCGCGAAACCTTAAGCCGCCGTTATTACGACTTTCACTTAACGCCACGCAATTTTCGGCGCGCCCTTTGCTGCCGCCACCACCATCGCCGGCCACCCCCGACATCGGGAAACCGGATACACTCCTTTATCCGTTTCGTGATCGGTGCAGTTATTCTGTTTCTCGAGCTAAGAAGCGACACACGTTCTTGTGATTGGCTCTCGGCGACTCCGCAGCGAGATTGTCGACATAAAAATATCTGAACAGAGCGTTTTACGAGGGGAAATTCAATTAGCGGTAAGGGGAGATTTACAGTACTTTTGAAAGCCGGAGTCGTGACGTAGAACCTTTGAAAGGATCTTTGAAAGGATCTGCCAGGTTATTTTATCGGAAATTGTCAATGTGTCGTAGAATGTGCGCGAGATAACCATGTGTGAAGTCGAATAATCCGAAGCACCGTAACTTTCCCGCGAACCAACACATCCCCTTTCTCCCCCTTTAAACTGACAGTATACGCTTTGTCCAGCTATTCTTATTCGATGCGGGCGCGAATCGCGACCTTTATCGCGGCGTATGTTGCTCGGACACTCGCGGGCCGATGAAATATCGATGCCTCCTATTTCGGGACGTACTCATTCGACGAGTTTATCTATAATAGATTTGACTCACCCTTGCTTGTAACCGACTCAGAAAAAATCGATTTTACCCGTTGGCGAGCCTGTTGACTCGAGATCCAAATCGGGGGGATTCGACAGGCGATTCGATATGCGGGTATGCGAGTTAAAGCGGGGGGAGGGATCGACAGCAATATTTCCTGTTCAGAGAGGCGATTGCGGATTCCGCAAGAGTGCAAATATACGTGGAAATCAAATATCGCCCGTCGTCGATCGGTCGTAATAAGTTGACTCCTGACATTTATTTAAAAACTTTCAGCGCCCGGCCGAATCGATCGGGTAAAACCTGATCATCCCAAGAGACTTACGCGGATTATTTATCACCGCTCGTCACTCCGCTTGACTCGCGCACGTTACGGATTTTCGACTGTATAATGGCCGTACGATCCATTATGCGTTTAAATTTCCATAATGTCCGCGTAATGCGCGATCGTCCTCTTTTATTTGTCGAGTAAGGAGGAAACGGCACGTGACAAATAAAATCTGCCGGGTCAACCGGCTGTAATGTATCCATTCATCTGTTCGGAATTATCTCATTGCATTATCCATGATTGCATTATAAATTCACAATCGCATCTCTTGTAATCGTGCTGTTTATACGAGACCGCATCGAGTTCAGCCGAGTCGGCGAATCTCTCGCGAGCGACCGCTCGATTATCACGAGAAAGCCGTGATACGATTATTTTTCGCGCGCCAAGAGGAACACACGCGACGGAATTGAGGCATACTGACGCGCAGTATAAGGTAACTGGTACCAGAGCACAGATCCCTTTCAGGCTCTTCTTGCATTTTCCGGTCGGCTGCTCGACTGGAAGTACAAAACGGAGCGCAACGACTTTGCAAAAACGACGACAAAGGGAAACAGCCACTCGCGGGAAATCGACGTGCGTTCTCTGCTAGCCGGGACAGAGAGAGAGAGAGAGAGGGGGGGGGAGGGAGAGAGAGAGGGAGGGAGGGAGAGAGAGAGAGGGAGGGAGGAAGAGAGAGACCGAAAGAAAGGCGAGGAGAAAGGATTAAAACGGCGGGAAGAAGCAGCAAGACGCGAGAACAAGATGTACATGACACAAGGAAGAGGGGTAGAAAGAGAGAGAGAGAGAGAGAGAGAGAGAGAGAGAGAGAAAGAGAAGGAAACAGGAGAGGGAAAGAATGATACAGCAGTAATTCGCGACAATAATGCCGAGGGTCTCTAAAGAACTGCGAAACAATGCCACCACTCTGCCGATTCTTTACACCTTCCTCTCTCTCTCTCTCTTTCTCTCTCTCTCTCTCTCTCTCTCTCTGTCTCTCTGTCTCCCCTCCTACCGCCGTCACGTGTGACGTGACTTCATGCTCGAGCGCGACAATGCGCACACACGGGTGTGTCAGCCCGCCGTACATTTCAGGCGGAGCGTCGAAAGAACCAAATGTGCCGGTGCACATTAAAGGATTATTTTTCGCGAAAATTCAGTCTCCATGGATACCGCGTCCGCGCGGCTTGCGAGAACGTCGTCGCGTCGTCGAACACTCGATACACTCGCCCACGAGACACGTACGTGAGTTCGCAATGCGCGAGCTTAACACGGCCCGCGCTGTAACGACTGTGACATCGCGCAGACAGCAGACGGCGGCGCGACGACGTTACATGTGCAGCTCATAACGACACGGTGTACCGAGAGAGACAGCCCGGCGCTACTTACGGAGCTGCCGAGTCGCAGCTGGAATTTAAAGCGAAGTGTGGCCGCGGGCGAAAAAGCTACGACGGAGAGAAGGCGGCGGTCCGGCTATCGTCCGGCCGCCAATTACGGAGGTACCTTTCGTCGTGAGCAAGAGGAGGAGGAGGAAGAAGAGGAGGTGGTGGAGGAGGAGGAGGAGGAGGATGTTTCGACAGAGGAGAGGGACGGATCTAATCGCCACCCGCTGGTCCCGACTCCGGGCTCTGCGCTCTCGCGAAAGCGAGCGAAATTGTTGCGCGGAGATAAATTGTCGTTTGGGGCACGTTTGTTACGACGCTTCGGAAGTAAATTGGGGAAATTACCGGAGATTATACCGAGATCTTTTTCCATCCGTATTCATTAACGTCGCCTCAATTTAGATAAATATCTGTACTACACACTGACACGCGCCGTCTGTCATCGTTCGTGTGAGATTAAGAGTCTGATACGATCTATTGGTGCTATTATTTAGAAGAGAAAAATATTTTTTTCATCGCTCTGAACCGGTCGCGTCGCTCTCGAAATGGCGGAGCGGTCTCGCCTGTCCTCAGGCTAACCGATTCAATAGTATGCGCGACGAGAAAATCGTATGCGACACGCAGCGCCATTCCGACCTACCAAAGTGCATCGGGGAGGTTTAAGACGAGACGCTCGTCGGATGCAGAAATCTCTCGTCGCCGTCCGTCGTCGCGCCGGGAAAATCGCTACGGCGAGAGCTCGCGTTCGTCCCGGGACGAAATGGCGCAGCTTTACGCCCGCTTTAGAATCCTTTTTATCCTCGGTTTATGGCGCGAGTCCGTCGAATAGCCAATCGCGAGAGTCCTGCGGGACGTGAAAGGTGCGCGGGAACGTGGACCGTGGTGGTGGTAATCGACGGCTCTTCCTCTTCGAGGGTGAGATCGTTATCTCGTGCGTACGCGCGAACGCACGTCGTGCATAATCAACTCGCTTTATATCGCTTTCATCGCGTGTAAGGGCGCGGGCGCGCGTGTGTGAAAGGAAGGAGAGAGCGAGCCGAATATTGCTCCGTTAGTATCATTAATTAATCTTCTCAGAGTTCCCAAGTGATTAAAGGCCGCTTATAGTATACCTCAACGTCGCGCTCCAGCCGAGCCTCACCCTGCTGGTAATCCTCCAGTCTGTTTCTTTCCCCTCGTTTTGCCACCGTCGTTTTATGCAAGAGGGAACACGGAAGCGACGAGAATAAAGCCCGATGCAGCAAATATAAATGAAATCGCAATCATCTCGTCGTCATGCCGCGTCACGTCGCCGCGTCACGCCGGTGGCGAGCTCAAAGATGACGGAGGTTATTCGTCGAAAGGCGCGCGCGCGCGCCAAGCGACAAAATGGCACGACGCGGCGAAAAATGCCGGGCTCGCAATCAGCGTTTATATGAAAAACACCCCGGCAGCCACCCTCGACACGCCCTTGGCAACCGCGGCAAGCAGCCCGATAAACCGGCAGCGACGTCGTCGACGGCGCAGCGCGATGCCGCGATGTTACCGGAGAGAGTCCGCGAGAGGCAGTCGAGAGAGGCGGTCGAGAGACCGCTCTCCATTCTCTCTCTATCTCGTCTCTATCTCCCCTCGTTCGGGCTTTCCTCGTCCTGCGAGGAGCGAGGGAGCGAGGAAAATAGCTGGTACTTTGGACGGATAATGCGACGCGGCCGTATTCTGCTATCCTCCCGCGGCGCACTGAGACGCGGAGAATTTCTTTCGTTCGCGTCTGTCGGCGCGAGCGCGAGCAGCAACTTTCGGGCTCTTGCAAATTCCGTCAAATGGCAAAGAGGCTCGCTCGTGTTTCAAGAATGCCGCTCGACGAGAGCTGGCGCAACGAGGGTGAGCGCAACGGCGTTCTCGCGATTTATCAGCGGCGGTGCGCCGCCGCCCGCGGGAGGGTTGAAAGCGAAGTTAAAAGCGAATTATCGGCGATGACGAGGTGCAATTTCGGGGATGGCGATGGTGCCGCCACGCGTCATTGTCTCTGCCTCCCGTGGCCTCCCTCTGCCGCGCGCGAGGCACAATGCAGCCGAGTCGTGATGAGCGACCGACCCGTGAAAAATTGGCCCTCGCCGCTGAAAAGGGTGAAACACCGTGTTTCCCCGCATTTCCAGCGCGATAAGTGGACCTGAATAAAATATGATTAACGACGTACCGTTACTCTCCCGGCCGGGTTGTCCCGCGTGGCCAGAGTGTGCATCGCCTTGCACACGCGCGCGTGCTTTCGTCTCCCTTTAACGTCGTTCTCGTCGTCGTCGTCGTCGTCGTCGTCGTCGTCGTCGTCGTGTGAAACAATTTCCGACGGTAAATCATTCGGGGAATTCTACGGAATTCTCGAGCACCACCGCCAGCGGGATATATTCTAACGATAAATTCCTCGAGAAACTCAGAGAGTGATCGTCCTCTGCCTGAAGATTTAATAAAAGACTGACCGAGACCGACCGATCGGCCGCAGTCTTTCTTTCTTCCGACGATCGATATTATCTTGCTCCAACGTCGCGTGCTACAATTAAACGTTAAGGGGAAACTTTTTTGCGCCGTTTGCGCGCTTAATGTAATTCGGACACCGTAGGACCCGGGAAGACCTCAGAAAGACAGCGCGCGCGCGCGAAAGAGAGAGAGAGAGAGAGAGAGAGAGAGAGAGAGAGAGATGGAGAGAGAGAAAGATGCGAGCCGGCCGGCTCTGTTCCACAGGTTCGCGATTTTCAAGCGTCATTAGCGATGCTCGAGCCTGTGGGAGCCTGCACTCGCTCGTTCAATGGCGCACGACCGCCGGGGACCATTTGGGCTCCATGGCCGCGAAGCGGGGTCCAATCGAGTACAAGGCCAGAATAGCTAAATCGCCGCGTCGTGAAAATTGCTGCGAGGAGCGCGACCGGCGCGCAGAATACCAATAAGTTCGCTCATTCGCTCTTAGCACGCGCGCGCACGGGGCAACTTGGCCTTGCGTATAATTAACAGAATATCGATACTTCGTTAACTCGATACCCCGGCCCCAAGTTACTCACTCTCGATAATGCGGTTATGCCCGGTTCTGCCTACCTTCGGCATCCATTTACGAGTTGCGCGTACCTTGAGCGGAGAAAATCGCAGGGAAAAGAAACTCGGCTAAAGCTGCGAGACGAGTACATCCCTTTCGCGTCTCATCGTCGCACCGACGATTGTTTCTGTGGCGACGGCAGTAGCCTCGACATTAAAGAGCTATCTTCGTAATTCCTGAGTGCAACGATCGACTGGAAACGGCGGAGTATCGAAAGATTCTTGCGACTCGGTTTTGGACGGCGGCCAAGGACGGATTGCCCAACTTCGATGCTCGCCTCGCGAAGACGTTACCAATCGTGCCCTTCCCTCCGTACCCCTTCGCCCCCCGCCGACGGACAATGTCACGAGGACGATAATTGCTATGCGCGATTACGCGAGTCGGTGGACAATCGCGAGTCGACGCACGTATGAGCGACGTCGTCGCGATCGGCCGCGTATAAAAGCGCGACACCTCGGGAAGCCAAGCATCAATCGACGATCTTCGAATCGACGAATCAACTCGACCAAGTCTTTCTCATCTACTCAGCAACCGCAGCCGACATGAAGTGCATCGCAGTGAGTAAATCGCAAGATCAATCGTACATTTCTCCGTCGCGACACTCGCGACAAAGGCCTGGCTTGATCGCGATCGGCCGAAGAATTTATTTATTTAGTGATTTATTCACGGCAGATAGTCCTTTAACCCTTTGCGCTCGATCATGTCCGATCTCGGCTCTTGCCCAACTAAACGTCAGCTAAACGAACGTTAATTAACGTTAATTAACAATCTCAATTACTCCAAGTATCCAATTACTCTTCAGTAGATCATATAACCGGGAGATATCAAAAATCACGACAATATCTTGCAAAATCTAAAGTTTACGTCCTTCTGTTTCCGCGCAAAGAACATGTGGAACAAATAATATTACAAGCTGGTTGACACAACAAGGTACAAAATAAAAAGTACTACGAGCGGAAAGGGCCGAGGGAAAGAAAAGTCCATCGATAGCGAGCAGATTCTTAAAGTCTCAATTTCCGACTGATAACACATCGTTCCTTCACCTCGTTCCTCCAGGCTATCGCTCTGTTCGCCCTGGTGGCAGTCGCGGCCCTCGCGGAGGCCAAACCCACCGTCGGGGTGGAGTCGTCCGGGGTCGTCGAGCCGGTGGCTCAGGCCGAAGCTGCCTCACCGGAAGCGGCCAGGAACAAGCGAGGGTTGCTGTTCGGCGCGGCTTACACGGCACCAGCGGTCGCTTACAGTGCATACACCGCGCCGCTCACGTACTCTGCATACAGTTACCCCTATGCGTACACGGCCTATTCGAGCTACCCCTATTACGCCGCCGCGTACAGTTCGCCCTACTACTTGGCCTAGATACCGTACGGACCGCGGTGCAGCTCTCTCACACGTATACGCACACACACACACACACACATATCCACGCATACAAAGCGAGGAGCACAACACAACACGCGAAACCGAGACTCCAAGCTAGCCCGACGACGACGACGACGACGACGATGGCGACGATGGCGACGATGGCGACAACGTTGATTTCGACTGACGACCGGCTCCCCGCACGAACGACACTCGCGACGTGATTACGAAGGATTCATCGTTGGAAAAACACGACGGAGGAGACTACCGTTGCCTTGGCTACACCGAGCCAGAAATATCCAAGTTGTATTTGTAAACCGTGTACAATACTCGCTTGCAGAATCGTACTCTTGCGCATTCGCACTGTCTATTTGAGAGCGATACATATTGCACTCTGCTAGAGAGACATATGCGCACGCATACACATGCTCACATTCTCTCTCACACACATACACACCCCTCTCTAAACAGCCCGCTGCGGGCTGCTTGGACGAGACGATAAAACGGACTATCCACCATCTCGGGACTTGCACGAGGAGAACAAGCGCAACGTGATATCGCGCGCGCGTTATTTGCGCTCTATTAGAGAAACGTAAAAGGAATATCGCACGTTGACGAAACGTCGTCTCGCCATTGTCTTCCTCGAGTACGTCGCGCCTGTGATCCACGTAATTCACGGTCGACAAAAAAAAATACCTCGACTATATTATTTATGTTATCGTATGCACGTTATATCTCACTCTCATTAACATCCGTATGTCTCTGTGAAGGATCAAACGTATCCGCCGAAAGTGTGTCTGAATTTCCACGGGGACGACATCGGCAACGTGATACCCCGCATATAATACCTCACCACGTAAAATATTGAAAAAGGAGAAAAAAAAATTATTGACGAAACGTTGCCGATAGCTCTCCCACGTGCGCGAGCATCTTCTCCGAGACATTATTCGTCGTATTTATATGTGAATTATGTATTCACTTTCGAGGAGAAAAATAATAAATATTAACACATGATGCATTGACATTCAAGCTGTTTTCCTTTCTCCCCCCTCATTTTGTGATATGCACGTGTCGATATGATGTATTTTTACCGATGGATGTAGTTTCTCCCGATTTCTCTCTCTCTCTCTCTCTCTCTCTCTCGTCCTGTGGACGCGCGCGTGCGCATTTATAAAAAGAAACATAATTATTAATATTAACGTCAAAACCGACACGCTGACATCGTCGGGAAACTTCAACTCCCCCGGTTTAATTCCGCGGCAGGTATTATCCGCGCAGAATTTTAATCGGGACGTACTTATCGGAATATTTAATATTTAATGGTTATTTAGTCGAGCTAAAGAATTTCCCCCGCGACCGAGCCGAGCCGGGGCCCCAAGGAAAAATTTCGTTTGGCCTAGATATCGCGGAGTGTTATTTTCGCAAGTAGTACTGCACCCTCGACGTCCACGACGTCGTCCACGGCGACGACGACGACGACGACGAATGCATTTTTAAATACGCGCCTTTAAGCGAGAGTTTACAGGCACTCTAGAGAGAAGACGCGGCGCCCGCGAGAATCGCGAGCGGAATTCCCGTGAGATTCCTCGTACTCTGAGAACAGCGTTTATAATGTCGTCTTTAAGACGCATCGATCGAGCTTCGACGGATTTATTTCGACGGATATCTTCATCGGCTGCGAGCATGCCCTTCGTCGGCTCGCGATTTCGACATGCACTTCTCGCATGCGAATGCGCAGGGAGGGAGGCGAATAACTTCTCCCTCGGAAATCAATTCTGCAGGCGAAGGAGATTTTATTGCTAAGACGAACAAACTTGAGATTTAACGAGACAAATGACCAACAGCTTCCCCCGAACTTCGGCTCGACTTTTTCAGCTGAATAACGCACGACGATCCTTACAGTTTAACAATCCGGAAGGCTGACGCACGGCCGCAGCAAGCTACAACCTATTCGACTTAACGGCGAGACCGTTGTTCTCGACGACGAAACGTACGATCGCGGATGGTCATAACGATCGGAAAAGCGAAACGACAGGATCTCGCCGGAGAGTCTGGCGGGGAAAGGGGTCGAACGGAGGGGGGGGGCTGAGGAGCGGGAGCAGGCGGGCGAGGCGACAATAAAATTGGCGCGCGTGTTACTACATCGAGTACAAGGAATATATGCCGATCGAAGGCGGGTTCTCGCGGTGGGTTCGACGGAAACGCCGCGGTGGGCGCGCACACCAGCCACGAGCGTGGAAAAACTTTTAATTACCCCGTTTAATTGCCCTCCGTCGTCTCCTCGTGCGGTAATTAAGTCGAGTCGCGCGACATCCGGCCGACGTCGGCACGCTAAATTACGCGCTGAGATTATTTCGCGACCGCTCGACCGCGAGGGATAAAAGCTGAATCCCGTGACCTCCGTGACCTCCGTCTTATCGTCCCTCGGCCAAGAGAATAAACGGGAGATACTTCCGTGTTTGCGCAGCGAAATTTCCCCGGACGTCGCTGCGCCGAGGACCTCCCGTCTTCCTCGGGTTTCCGCTCGAGGAAAATATCGGCCGTCCGAGATAACGGCGAGACTAAACGCAAATCAGGCATCAAGGAATTTTTGTTCCAAGGCGGGGGTGGAGGGTAACGAAAGTGAGAGCCGCGAAGGAGCACGAGTGTAGGCACAAGTTAGTCAAGAGCGTCTGCCACCTCGCGGAAATAATCAAATAATCGGCGATTTAATTTTGTCGACGTCTCTCGTTAAGATCGCGCACGCATGTAACTGCACTCGCGACCGCGCTCGCCGCATTCAAAGCGAAAGTCATTTCGGCCCAACGCGTGGCACATGCCAATGAAACTGCCAAAAAGTTCGCGTGTGTTTCGGACGAGCGAGCTGTTCCGGATGGACCGTTGTGATCTTTTTACTTCGAACGGTGTTAATCCAACGCACGTTCGTCGCCAACAGGCGCGTTCAGCGAACAAAGCGGGGGCTCGGTGAATTTTTTGTCGATATTGAATGACGATGAAATGCTCAACGACAACACATGCCAAACGACTATATATATTTCGCTTCTGATTAATCCTCTTTGATATTTTCATGAAAACCACATACAAAATAAGTCGAGGCGACAAAAATGACTCGTCGATTGCGTCGCTCTCCGAATTTTCGCGCGTTTGCACATTGGGAGAAAAAGACAGAGTTGATTTTACGAAAATTATAGTCATTTTTGCGAGGCTTCAACTAAATTTTCTTGTTGCTCCAACAAGAAAATAGCAAGTACAATCCACGTATATGTAGTTTTTATCGTTAACGCTACAGTAATACTTATTACAAAAATATTTCAATAATTCTTTTTCACTATATCACCCGAAAAAAAAAATGTAACTTCAGAACAAGCGGAATCATCTAAATTTTAGGGAATTTTATTCTTTTATACGGCCCCAAAAGGATTCCTCTAAAATTAAGAGGAAAATATTATAAACACATTATTCTTAAAGTTAGAAAAATTACAAGTATCAAAAACCCCTTTTCCTCCGTGCATAACCGCACAGGAGTTCGCTCCTGTTCGAAGAAAAATCATTTCACGTTGCGGCGAGGAGTGCCGCCACGTGTATCGAACGCGTCTACTTTATCGAACGCCACGTATAGCCTCAGCGGCGGCACACAAACGCACACATAATCCCGGGATTCGAAGCCCTCCGCCGAAGCCGCGCGCGGTTACCGAACCGAAACGGCCGGTGCATACTAATGTCTCTTTTCCAAAAACACCGGGTGCACGTCTCGCGCGTTGTCTCGCGCGCGCGCGCGCGCGCGCGCGCGCGCGTGGGCTGCGCCGCCAGACACGCGCCCCCCGTATCAACCCCGCCGGTATCGAGTCCGGGCGAAAATGAGCGGGGAGTTTTTAATTGTGAATGGCCGGTGGCGCAGCCGCCGGTGACGTATGAGTCTAATTGGCCGGCTGTTTGCACGATTGCTCCGCGAGATGCACACACGCAGCTACGCAAGCACATGCAGAGCAGAACACGAGAGAGCGCGCGCGCGCGCGTGTGTGTGTGTATATACGATTTCGAATTTCCGCGTGAAATATAGGTACCCAAAAGGCTTTCTTGATATATCGACTCGTTTCCAATCTATGGCCGTTGTATTTTTCCAAATACAGCGGCAAAATCGGGCGCATAAATCACGCTCTCGCTTCCGCGTAATGCATACTAAATTCCTTTCTTTTTTCTTCTTCCACCAGGACATTAATCTCGTTATTTGTTTTTTCGTGCTTCTCGCGAGAAAGAGAGCGAGAGCGAGAGAGAGGGGGAGAGAGAGGGGGAGGGAGAGAGAGAGAGAGAGAGAGAGAGAGAGAGAGAGAGAGAGAGAGAGAAAGCACAAGGAGAAGCCTCTACGAGCTCGGTCTTTATTCTCCTCCGATTCGCTGCGTTCTCTCATGCGGAGTATACGTGAATGCGGACGGTTCAAGTTGCGACGCGACTTTTTCATCAGTACCTCCGCAGGAAACGCGACGCACGTACGCCGCGGCGATGCAGCGTACGTGCGCGATATGCAGTTACTAATAAGTATCGGCAAGCGCGATCGCGGCCGTGCACGACACTGCGTGTGTGCCTTGACGAAAATTTTGCGATGGGACCGTCACGCACATTCGCCGCACTTTGCGCACACACGTTTTCTCAATTGGCACGTACTGCTGCTCCGACTTTTATCGCTCGTTACTTTTTCACAACGGGAGAATCGATCGCTCTGCGAGGAAGGAGAGGGAAAGGGACAGAGAGAGAGAGGGGTGCGGATTCTCTGAATAATCAATTACGTGCGGGAATAAACCAATGACAAGGCTCGGTAAATAGCTAATCGCGGAACAAGAACGGCGTGTTAAATATTCCGGCGGGACTTTAATGTAAATCAGAGATCGTCCTTATGAGAGAAGCAAGAGAAAGAGAGAGAGAGAAAATAAGCGAGCGAGAGACAAAGGGAATAGAGAGAGAGAGAGAGAGAGAGAGAGAGAGAGGAGAAAGAGAGGGAGATCGACGAATCCGCGGGACGATTTAATTAAATACGCGAGCCCGCGAATTCGCCGGCGAACAATTTCCCTCGACTACGCGACGGCTTTGCATTGCAAATCACGACCGCCGACAAATCTCGAGATCCACATAAGTATAAAAATAACGAGGGGGACAATCGCATCTTCCCTCTTCGCTCCTCGTTCAGGCAACGGACCCCAGAAGGATCGCAAGGGTTGCGAGAAGAGAAGAGGAGACGAGGGAGTCGATAATACCCGTCCCGAAATTTAGAGTCGCGATAAACTCGCGGCATTTCCGCCCT